GTAACCTAATTTCACGAGACTGCATGTTTCTGACGGCACATCCAAAAACATGTCAAGAAGTTTGCTTAAGAATGATTACCATGTAACCTCATTCCAGGCAAACAAGAAGACGCTATCTCGGAGCGAGACTGCATGTATCCCATAAGTCCAGTTGCGTCAACCTTCATATTTGGGGCCTCCCAGCCACGGCTCCTCGCCGAAGTCGCCTCAGCCATTGGGCAGAAGTCTGACATGTGGGCGGGGTAGAGACTGTCTTTAGAGCCAGCACCAGCAAGAGAAGTGGTTGGCAGGGGTTGGGTTCCCGAGAGCCAGTCGAGATTCGCAAGGCCGGGCGCCAAGCGGCCGTCTAACTCTCCCGAGCGAGCGCGCTCCTGCCAGAATGGAACCGGAGCAACCGGGCACGTGCCGAGGCCAAGCACCCAGCGCCGCCTACCCTAGGAAAGCTACGACAATACATCAACTCTTCACTGCTTCACGACCGTCAACCTCATGCTACTTCAGGGATCCGCAGACTCTTTGACGTCAGCGCAATTGCACCTCTGGCGGCAACGATGTTGAAAGTCTAAACTTACCCACAAATCATATCCTCGCCTGATGCTGCCAAAGCTGTGGCTGGAATTTCACACCGATTGAAAAGCATTATCTTCAGCAATTGAATGGTTGCTGCCATATTGTTGCACAACTCACCTTCTTGCAGCAGCTTTTTCTCAAATACTGCCAACCAAGAAGAATCGAGAAACCCCTAGCCTGAACCAAAAGGAAGAACGTGGCGTAGCTGCTGCAGACAGCAGGCCAAGGTTTCCGGGCAATACAAACAAGCTGCACTACACAAGCATGTACAAGATTATACAGGTAGAAGGTAGAAGCCTCCGAAACATGCCTTCTGCTTAAAGCTTGCAAACATGCCACGGGCACCGGGGACGTGACCTCGCAGCGTGTTGACATAAAATGACGTGAAAGGTCAACGAGTTATAGTGACTTGCGGATGTTGACCTGATTCCCAAGTGAGAGCCAGGATGTGGTACTGCCATACATCCAATTGCAAATTCCCTGAGCCATTCAGATCAGCTTTGGAAACACGAAATCCCATGGTAAAGTTATTGACTGCGCAAATGCTGAGAAGCCTTTCTATAGTTGCATCAGCCTTCAAAACAATGGGTCTTGGGACCTGACTCTAGATTCTAACATAGCGCTAGGAGTTGTTCAGCGCTAGGAGTTGTTCAGCGCTAGGAGTTGTTCAGGGGAACCCAAAAACCCCAACAGTCACTGTCCACTCGGAAGCCACAGGCGAATCTTCCCCTGGGCTCCTCGCCCTGGTGATGGCCTCCTGCTCAAAGAACTTCTGCAGCGTGACGTAGACGTCCTCTTCAGTATCACACTATTTGCCCCTTGCTGGCCACAACAGGCGTAGTGGCATCCAAGGTAGTAAGATGAAAACTGTTTGTTGGTGGCGACCCAAGCAAACTCAAAATCTGATCGTTACGCGATACTTGCGACCTGCCTCATCCTTGGTGATAAGGTCGCTGATGCACAGGACCATTGCCTGAAGAATTCTCAAAGGAAAACTGACAAGCATGGCTGAGAGAATGCCTCTGGGTCCCCGGGCATCCCGCAGCCACAATCGCGGAGGGGTCACGGCACCCTCCTGGGCGACACTCAGCTTGCAAAAAAGACGTCCAGCGCATCGGTCTTGCTGCAAGCCCTTCCCCTTGCCTCACAGCAGATCTTCTGCAAGATCTTTTCCAGCTGGGAAGCCTCGCGAGGCGGCTTCCAGAGTCGAGAAGAGTCTTAAGTCGGAACGCCAAGGCCTGAAAACAGCTCAGCTTCATGGCACTTTGCCCTGTCTAGCCTTGCTGACACCAGTGGGGCGGACGCTGACCTCGTCGTTGCCGACAACGACCTGTCCCAAGCTCCACCCGGCGCATCAAGTTTCATCATGGCGCAGGAACTATGACAAGTCTTGGGGCTTGGAGTTTGCAGATGCTGCGGAGGGGGTAGCAAGAGGGAGAAGACGGCATGTCGCCTCCCATCCATTTGGACATGAATGGCTGGCAGGCTGCTCAGGCAGCAGAGTCGACCAAAACGGTTCACAAAGTACTGAGGTCTCGGGACCATGTCCCGTTCGTCTCTTGGGCGGACCGAAATGCAATTTCCACACCCGACCAGTCCAGCGCAAGCCCGGAATGAAGGAGGACACACAAAGAGTAATTATGAACCGGCCCTGTTAGGTGCCTAGTGTGACGCCAGGAATTAAAGTTGTCACTCTTCGTTAACATGGGTATCACTTTCGTTGCAAGTATCTTTTTTGAACTGAATCTTGGTCAACGCTGATAAAGTCCCTCAGGCCGCCTCCGCCGGCGCGGAGAGCAGCGGACCGGCCCAAAGATGGATCAGCAAGTCCTGGCGCAGTCCCCGGCATAGTGATGCGTTGCATCATGCCTCATCTAGAGAGCCCTGAACCGCATAACTTTTAAAAACTTTCCTTGATGACCTGGACGAGGGCGGGTCATCAGGAAATTTAGCCTTGGGTATTATGACGGCAGCGGCGTCAATGTTTGCATGTGTCTGATTGTGGAGTTGCCATGACGACTTCCTCTGTAAACCTAGAGCCATCCCCCACTGTCCTTCGACTGGATGGCAGCATGGTCGCCCTGTGTCTTCTGGTAATGCCAGGAGACGGACGACACTGGCCAGGTTCAGGATTTCCAGCATGAACTGTGCTACAAGCCCACATGGAACCAAGTTCAAGCTTGGTTTGCTTGGTACTCGCAATCTGCACTGCAGCCCTGGGGATGAAGCTGCCACCAGCTAGGCCAATTTTGGACAAGCAAGAAGTAAGAAGTAAATTTCGGAAGCCAACGGAAGGAAGCCCTAAAAACGCCGAACTCAGGGCGAACGTAGGGGGGTAGTAAAGGGGATGGCAGATGAACGAGTCAAAACCAGGATGAAGATCGGAGTCGCGACTGGTATTGCAAGGGCTGCCGCCTGCTGAGCTTCTGCAATTTGGAATAAGAGGTTTTAGGGTTTAGGGTTTAGGTTTTAGGTTTAGGGTTTTAGGGTTTAGGCGTGAGGGCTGACATGCAGCGCCCAAAACGACGGAAGCAATGCAACAAGAAAACGAAGATAAACAAGCGACAACTCATCCGTCTAGCTTGTGCTAAACATGGCTGCATCGCTGGTCTCAATGACCCGGGATCCAGGAGTTCGGGCAGCAAAGTACTCCATGATCTCCTGCCACACATGCGCGCTATGTATAATGAAACACCCAAACAGATCCAAGCATGCGAGCGCTTGAAACTTCCTGCGTGTCAGATGGGCCCCTTGTGAGGCACTCACCTAGGCCTCCCCTACAGAGCTTTACAACACTCCTTCATCAGCGCAAAACCTGCGAGGATCACAGATCTACTGTAGCAGGTACTGAACCTCTACCAAGCCTGCTAGCTCACACAAAAAACATGTCGAAGCCACAGGGATACTGTGAGTTTCAAAAGGCTGGAACATGAGGACAGAAACTCAGGTGTAAACAAGCCTTGGCCGGTCCAAGCCACTCTTTGTCGAGCAGCTCCATGTTGGACCAAGTGCCGTCCGGCCTCGCGGTCTTCAATGTAGCCGGATCCAGCATCAAATCTTGATCTCAACTACTGGGGACTTCAGAAATTCGCTCACCAATTGAATGGGACTATCTCTTCTGCTCTGGCTAGGGCTAGCAAACATGTGCTGATAATGTCGTAGAAGCGGCAAATGACTTGCATACTGCCCCTTCAGGCTACAGCACTGGAACTCAGCTACCCCAACTTACGGACCGTTTGACAACCTTCGCGAAGAGAACTACGTGCAGTCTGTAGCATGCATCTCATCGTGCATATCGCCGACCAGGTCTTTGGGCTCCAAGCTCTCGATAGCACACGCCACCCTCCGCAATGATCCAGCATGGTATGTTGCCGATTGCCTACCGAAGCACTCTCTTCTGGCACAGGCTGCTTGACTCAACCCGCAACTGGACAGCTGGGTCTCACCTGATCAAGCCACCATTGGTTGGGTTGAGGTGCAAGGGGGCATATGATACAGAATCTTTCTGGAAATGCTGTCCCTGCCAGCCCAGACCTACGCTACCTCACTCCACCCATAACTTGAGCACCGAGCTCTGTGGCCTGTGACAGGAGATCCTGCTCCAGGCTGCTCATGACAATGACGTGCGTGTTAGGTTCCTCAGCCAACACCTGGCAAGGCCAAAAAGAAGGCTTTCAGCAGAAGCCTTGAGAGAGACATCAAGAACTTTAGCGCTTTCTTTGTGGCAGCGGCATGCACTGCGCCTCGCAGCATCGATGCTGAGGCTCCCCATTAAAAGGCGACTGCGTCTAGACATCCCTAGACTGGCATTCGCGCACATAACCAATGCATCCTGCGCTTTGGCAAGCATGCGCGTTGCGCATTGTGAATCTGGCACTTTTGAGCTGAGAATCTACAGGAAACCCAGATTTTCTGCTGCTAGGTCATCCCTGACATATTGATCCCATGGCCACTGATCACTGATGCTCAGAGCTGTCATTTCTTGTACCTCTATCAAAGCAAATCTAATATGGGCAAGGGTAATCTTCTCACTAAAACTCCGATAAGTTGTTGCAAAATCCATCCGAAAATGATCAGATTCTACACTTCTGCGGCAAAGATGGTGTGGTGAGTTCTTGCTCGAAAGTGTCCAGTTGAATGGGGAAAATGTTGAGCCGCTCGCCATGAAGCACCAGCGGTCAACACTGACACTGCGGTCCTCCAGTCCTGAATGGCCCGACATCTACGGTGTACAGCTCAAAGCAAAGATTTGCGATGAGAAGTTCTGGTCTGACACATCTGCTCTGGCGTTGGGGTCTCATGCAAGTTGCTCGCTAACTCTGCACCACTGCCCGTTGAATCACACCCTTCTACGTAGCTTCAACACTGAGGGTATAGACCCTTGCAACAGAATATATCCGTCTGCAATCCTTTGGAGGACCTAGGACTTATCAGGAAGATCCATTCTCACTTTCCACTTCCGCAAGGGTGCAGATAGCTTTGGCCCAGCCTTGGTACACAACAATGCCGCAGAAGGGATAAAGTGACAGAGTCATCAAGAATGCTGCTTTTATTACCCTGCGTCAGTTTCCTGAGGCTGGCGCGGTAGTACTTCCACTCGCCCAACTCCTCCCAGAAATCGGGGAAACCCCACTCAGAGTAAGGCGCACAACTTCAAACCAGCTGCTTGCGTTTAGGAGCTACCTTCTTTTGTCTGCTCGAAGGTGCCCGTGAGCCTTGATGTTTTTGATGCCGATGGACTTGAAGACCGGATCCTTCGCAGGTGTGAGGCCTGGCAGAAGCTCCTTTCAAGGCATCTCTTGGCGCTGCTCACAGCCCAGCCTGCAAAAGCACTGGGCGCAGCATCGAGGAGGAAGGACATGGCCCAGCCCTCCCACTCCTGATGTTTGCGGCTCAAGCGGCTCAAGCGGCTCAAGCGGCTCAAGCTTGCCTGGGTTCTGGGGGTTTTGGGGGGTCTCAACCACAAGCACAGACGCTTCCCAAACAAGGACCCCAACCAACAAACCCGATGATCCTTCATGTTGCTTTCAAACTCTCTAACCTCTAGATGTGTGGGCGCGCCCACGGCAAAAAAGCCTGCATCGGACATGCCTTGTCCAGGGCCTTGTTGATGTTCATCTTCCGCTGCAGCTTGCTCACCTGGGTATGTACAACACGTCTAGCAAACGGTGCAAGACTTACAGAAAACAAGCTCTGAAATGCTGGTGACGTGCTTGCTAGCCTTTTTTTTTGTACGCGGTTTGTCGAGGACTTTTGGGATTGCTACGTTCTGCTTCGGGATGTAAGACCCAAAACCTATATGCTCTGATACACAAGCCGCAGTCCCATATAACTGGGCAAGCAAGCCCTAGGTTCCTGGCATCACGGCTGCCATCCTGCTCATTCGGACCAAGGATCACGATCGCCTTTCCAAGGCTGACATGGCTCCCCATGTGAGGCGTGGGGGGAATGTCCCGTTTTCACAGAATGGGTGGAGACCCAGAGCGTTTGTTGCTACCCCTTCAGGCTTGCCAAAAAAAAACCAAGTGCAGTTCGATAATTGGCTGTGGCGCCTCAGCCCAGCGCGCAAACTTCCAGCCGGCTAGGTCCTGTGCTGTGCTCAGATGACATCTTGCGCTGATGCCCGCTGCACTAGGGTTTCCTCATTTATGACAGGAAGAAATAGGAATCATGCATAAAGACGACGCCTACAAGTGACACAGAGCTAGCAGAATTTGCTTGGTGGCTGCAGACTTGCGATGTAGAAGCCGGTCCGCCACAGTCTTCGGGCCCAGTGTGGCAATCATGGCTGCCTGATACAGCAGGGCTGGAAGGACACTACAGCACTTTGGGATTGCTCACCTCGAACGCCACTTGAGTTCTTGATGAAACTACTTCTGACATAGAAGCTTAGCTGCTTCACAAAGGACTCCCTCAACAGAAATGCCCATGTTTGCAGGTCCAAGCAGGAGCTGTACTGTTGCTGTATTCAGTGTTTCCAGCATTTCCGGGGCCAGCCTTTTTCCGGCCCAGGCCCTGGAGGCAGGTCAGCGGAGCCTTGCAAGGCAATGTCACAGAGGACTGCTGCACTCTGGGGCATTGACATTGGATCTGCAGAAATGCTTACATGATGGCTTGAAGATGCTTGAAGGCAAAAATTTAAGTTCTGCAGGCAAATCTTACGAAAGGTGCCTCTGGCCTGATTCCCTTACAAGCATTTGGAGCTATGCCTAAATTCTGAAAGGCAGAGTTCATCTACCCGAAGTCCTGAGAGTTTCTACTCGACTTCCAGAAGCTCAGAATCAATTGTTTGGACTCCAACTGCTGGCTGATGCTCCATGGGCAGAACTACCCTGCTCACCTCTTTACGTGAAGCTATGACGTGGGATCCTGACCCATGCTGTCGATCGATCGATCTCAACCGACCTGCTCAACCAGCACCTGAGAAGTCTTCACATGTCCTGACATCGATTGATGCAACCGATACCTGAACAATCAAACATGGCCAACGTGTCCTAAGTTAGAGGGATAGCAGGAAGGTCGTGACATTTGCTCTTGGGCAGTTGTCGCAAACAAAGGCTTGCCACACTTTCAAGATGAGACTTTAGTACAATTTGTTTGTTTCAACTGCAAACCCAAAACGGACAAAATCATCGGGACGTGAAGCCACTACTGGGTCATCTAATTTCATTCACAAGCGCTTCATGCTTTGATTCCATGTTCCACGGTAGGTTCTTCCCACGCCCATTTCCACTTCCACCAAAAAACACTGGCAGAAAACCTGCTAGTCCAAGATGATAACCGAGGACCAACAATCCAAACCAAACCACCCGACATGTCAAGCAGGGGCTGATAAATAACTGCTACTCGGACAGCAATCCAAGCAATTCCAATCTTTGAGCATCTCCATGAACAAGCAACTTCGGAGGCTTGGGAGGACTCCTGTCAAAGATCCCAAAGATTTGTGCAGCCTTGGCGAGCTGCTTCAGAGGAGCATCTTCGTACCTCAGCTGAGGAGTGTGCAGCTGTGTATGTTCACGAAGCATTTGGCAAGACAAAATCTTCTGCCTGTCAAGCAAAGGCAGAGCCAACCACAAACCAAATTTCAAAAGGAGTACCACTTGTGGGTCACCAGCCTTCAGTGGAAAGGAACCCATTCACAGGTTGCACATTGTAGACGCTACTCTCCGATACTTCGTACTGCCATACATTGTGGCGGCCCCTTGGCATCTGCTCACATTTTGAATGTGTATTGCAAGAAAAGGCACCTTCTTTTGACGTTTTACCTTAACAACTACGTCGTCTGCTTGGGGCATCTCTCATTCCGGTGGGCCTGACTGAATAGAATAAAATGCTGATGCATAGGATACCATACAACAGGATTACCAAGATTAAGAAGATGCGTGGAATTGTTTGAAATACAGCTGGCTCTGACTGCTGGATCCAACTGTCAAGAGAATTGGTCCGCGGAGATAGCCGTCTGAAAGTGGAAGTGCAAGGTCATCGAGCTCCGCACTCGCTTGACACAGCGAAGCCAATGTTGAACGAAGACCTGCAAGCTGTTCCAAGCGCAGCTCTAGCAGAGCCTGCCTATTGTCCTCTACGCACAAGTAGGTTCATGGTGTGGTCTCACAGGCTGTATCGCCGCTCGGGATCGTCTGAGAGGAGCAGGGCCTAGTTTGTGCCTGTCCTTGCGGTGACGGAAAGTGTCATCCTTTCATCACTGCTAACACCATGATGAATTCATGAGCTTCCTGTTCGTTCTTGTTGCTAGCCGCATCCTTACGGTGCTTCTCATGAATTCGTCAGGGACAGGAGCTTCAAGTGCCCAAAGCTCAAATTCAAAGCTCTGCTGGCCGGCACCTCTCGCAGGATCTCTTTGATTCCTGGATCTCGTCCAGGTCCATGACATGCCTGGGCTCCCACTGGCATTCACCAAGCAGATCCATCCCGACTTGATTGTGAAGAAATTAGAAGAATTTGGGTAGACGACCTTCTGCACAGGCTCATGGTAGAGACTGCCACTCGACACAACAGCCCTGACCCGCCAAACCCATGTCCCAACATGTCCCAACGCTGGCAAGCATCTTCTTGGCATTCTCCATATGGTAGCCAACCTGCACGCAAAGCCCGAATTTTCAGGGCCCAGGGCTGATGGACGTTCCATGGGATTCAGCTGCTGATCTGGTAGAGTTGCTGAGGTCCCCACGATGTAGCCCAAAAACGCGCCGTGGGAAACCACCACGATGCGCGCCTCTGTGCGTGCCTGCCGGGTGGGACTTTTTTGTTAAGTTGGCTTGCAAAGCATGAGGACCCTCCGGTTTGCCCCACCCGGAGGAAGTCCAGGAAGGCCGCCACTCGGAGCGGCTCCTCCGGGCGCTCGACCTTCCACCAGTCCTGTGAAGATTCTTCGCTTTGCTTTTTTGGGGAAGGCCTTTGATTCTGATCTTTGTCTTTGGGGCCTCGGTTTGGGCAGAGGCTGTGTATTCGATGTTTTCTTAGGAAGGTTTCTTGCCAGGTGATGGCTCAAAGTACAGAGGATGCTACGTGAAGGATTCTAGTAGGTCTAGGCGCTGCAGGCTGTCAGACTCTCACATGGGAATAGATGTTGGGCAAGAATGCCGCTAGTTTTCTGGAACTGCTTCCATCATAAATCGCGAGCCCGACCCTTTTCTCATCTAAGCACGCTCAGGCCTTGCAGCTTGGCAAAAATCTCAGTGCTTTCAGGCGCCCATTGCAAGCAAATTCTCAAATGCCTAAGAATAAACCGTCCTTGGCAACCCACCCTGCACGCGTCTAGGAACTCCCATAAGTGCCAAGTCATATCCTGATCTGAATCAACCCAGTGTGGAGAATTGCGGCGCAAGGAGAGCAGGCCTCTTCCAGCTCAGCTAGTCCACGCCAGCCTGTTCTGGTTAAACCGATTCGCTCGCTTCCGTCGGGGCTGACAAGGGGACTTTATGCAATCAAGCTGACAGTTCTGAGATGCGTGTGACCATTCAGGGCCCGTACTGACTGCCCAGGGCAGGTCCCGGCGCAGATCCTCCAAGCTCCGCCCCTCCTGAGCTGACCCCGCTCACATAAACCAGATGTCACAGACATCAATCTGTCCTTACCAACCCACAAACCCAGGTCGCTCGCTTCGGGAGATCCACTGAGCTAAGGGTAGGCTCTGGACATGACCAGTGCCCAATCCCATTCAGGAATCCGAAAGATCCTTTATCGGAAAGGCTGAGCACGCCTTTCAAAGTGCACCTGTGCATTGGAAGGCTCAATCCTATGGGCCTTACCTGCATACACGATGTGAAAATCATGTACATCCTGGCTCCGCAACCTTTTTGAAGTGGATGATGCTTTGCTGAACGACTACCTGCTCGGAACTTCAGCCCCAGGAGCGTCACAAGTAGCGCCACTGAGGTGCTCTGCACACCTCACAAACAGTCACACTTGTACATGCGCGGCTGGCCCTTTTTAGGGAAGTCCATGTGCAAAAGCCCCCTCATCGGAAATATATGCCTAAACCCTGGAATGTGCCAAGCGAAGATGATCCTAGAAAGGTCGACCTCTAGAAGCATGTCTTTGTCACATCCAAGATCTGCATGCCAAATATGCATCACACAGCACCATACATGTTAGCAAGCTCGTGCAAGCGACATCGGTGTGACGAGTATCCTGGAGTCCTCGGGCTTCAGGCCTCCACAACACAGAATCAGAATGTAGGGTCGCGATACTTTCATGATGCTTCGTCCTGGGGGATCAGTAGATTGTAGGGCTTGCACTGCGCTTGGGCTTCGCAGCGAGGCAGAGGTGTCTTTGCAGAAGCAGCTTGGATCCAGCTCAAAGGAACTCGGACTTCAGTTGCGCAGAACAGCACACAACCTTCCAAGCAAACCTCAGAGACTACATCGCAACGCTCCAATTCGCCTGGAACCTCGCTGTCTCATGCTGTGTCTGGCACCTCCGATCAGGTAGGCCGTCTGCAGCGCACGGGTCATAGGCGAGATGACAATGAGGTCAGCCTCTGCAAAGACCTGCTGTGGTTTCAGCTTACGAGGCTTTCCCTGAGGCGTGAGCGAACAGAACACGCAAAACAGGGACACTAAGCTGAAGCACAGGGCAGCCTTCGTGCCCCACTCAGCATGCGCTGCGGCGCACTGGGCTTCGCCCTCTGCAGTCAACCTTCTCTGCTGCCATTGCATCATGTTTTCAAGCAGCTGTTTTTTGTACACCAAATATTTGCAGGACTTGACACCTCACATCAAAGGCAAACCCGCAAGATCGATTCGCGATCTCCGCCAAGTCACGGATTGTCTGGCGTCCACAAATTGTCGTCGCAAACCTTCGGATGACATGTAAAAAATGGTGCAAAATCTTCTGAAACCATGTGCCCCTTTGCTTTCTTGGTGCAACTGCTATTGTTTGTGAATGGGTGAAAAGCTGACCTTCGCAAGCTGCGTCAGAAAACACCAAAATGTCATGCAGCCACATGTCCAAGAGCAACAACTGATGCTGGAGCCTGAGTCATGTAAGCTTGTGCAGTAGTAGCCTTCATGGCCCTATCGCCAATGGTGCAGCATGACTGCTGTGAGCAGATCCATGCAGCGTCCCCAACCATGGCACTGCCGCCAAGCAACATTGTGCAGCGCCTGAAGCGCAGGTGCCAGGAGGTGCCGGGTGGGGATGGTTCGAGTTAAATCAAATGCGGGCATATGTTTTGGCACAGATTCTCATAGAAACAAAGCTTTCGGCAGCCATGGCATGCTTTTCGATGGTGCCTGGGCATGGCGGACGAAGCAAATGGAGCGGGAGCTGTCAACTCCAGGCGAGTCCGGCGACTTCCGCTTGGTGCCCGCCATGCGGATAAGAGAAAGCGATACTGAAACCAAAAAGGTGCCGAAGGATTACTTTTTTCCACCACGAGTTCCTCGGACCTGTTCTACATCTACGAGTTCCTCGGGCCTGTTCTACATCTACCTTCTAGGCAAAAAAAATCTACAAACGCCTCTGCAAAGCATTGCAGGGGTGCCAACAGCCTTGGATAGAAATGGCCCGTCTTGAGCTCAGGATTGAAGGTTAGAGCCCTGATGCTTTTCGTTCACTCACAGGACAATTCTGGAACAACCTGTATCCCAGCGTGAACATATGGTCTCTAAGAGCTCAAGGCCAACATGGCTGCGGGTGATAGAACACTTCAAGAAAGGACTATGGTGCCGCGGCAAGCTATGCCCTGTACTTCAGCTTTCCAGCAAACAGAACAAATAGGGGTGTGTTTCCGAGTTGCAGAAAGGGTTCTACGCAGCCTATGAATCACAACCTTTTTCGAGTGAAGTTAGGGCACAAAAAAGTGCTTGAAGGCGCATGTGAGAACAACATTCACGGTCCCGGAGGAGTGACAGGCACAACCCTCGGTTTCATGCTGCTCAAATTAAGATAAAAACTCGTAAGATGACATGATCGGGCAATCCATTTATCTTGGGGACTTAGCCCGGCGTCTGGAAAACCTCATGCTGCTCGAGTCGCTCCGCATACACGGAGGCCCTACAAACGGTCTCTAAGCCCGGGCATTATTTCGATGAGTAGTCCCAAAAAGCCAACAAAGGCACAGGACCGTCCACTACTGTCTTTGAATAGGGACCTGGAAGAAACAGAGCACCTTGAGGTTCCCAAAGAGAACCGGGTGCAGCTTGGGGAGGAGCTTGGCCTGAATCTTGGACCTCGCAGTGTGTGCGGGTTGGACTATGCTGGACTCGAAAATTTCTCCTTTGGATTCGACGTCGCTATTTTCCAGGAAGCCTTGCTGAGTAGATTCTGGTCGGGGTTCACGCGCAGGGTCTGCGCGCCGCAAAAAAAGGCATTGAAGATTCACACGCAGAGCTCAGAAGAGCTTGGGCTAAAAAGCGAAGTTTTTGCTGCAACAGCTCTGCGAAGACAGAATGAAAGGCTTCAACACGGGAAGCACGTGCAGCTGTGCAGCATTCAGCCACTTCATGAAACTGGGGATCAGGCTTCCTTGGGAGCAGCGTTCCTGCTGTTGGCATGTCGATTGGAGCAAGCAGAGCGTGGCTGGGCTATGCTGGGCTATGCTGGGCTGAGTGACGCAGAGCCCAGCCTGAGAAGCCAAAGACGAAGATCCGCCGGCTTGCCTGACGCCGAGGGCTTCAGGGCGCATCCAATTGGACATTTGCCGTTGAGAGTCCAGGCTTGCACACCCTCTACACCTATGCTCTGCGATGGCCTTCCGCAGGGCGGCAACTGGATGGTCATGGTCTAGCCTGGTCGCACAGCTGTTCTTCCGTTCTGAAGGTTCTCAGTGATAGCCTCTGCTGGGTGAAAGTCTATCAACCGGGAACATTGGTCTGAATGAGGGTTTTGTGAGGCTTCCCTCCGATCAGAACCTGAGAAGAACTCATGTACATCCTCAGCTGCTGCGAACTCTTCTCCCATAAGCCCTCCTGATCCGACCAACAGGCACCGCACGGAGGGGGGATCTGGAGACGCTCATCCTCGCACTCCCGCTCCGCCTTAAACGCACAAAGCCACTCTCACATCAACTGCTGCTGTTGCTGCCACATGCAGGTTCTCCTTAGGTCCAAACTCGAACCTTTCCGACAACTGCCCAAAAACCGGAAGCATGACCCAGAACTCGTCACAAAATAGATACCAACAACAACATTCTAACAAAAGTTGGCAAACCAGAAAAGGAATCTGGCCACTTGTTCAAAGCGCGCATCAATGACAGCAAACCTGTGGAAGTGCACGTCATCCATCAGGCGCTGTTGGACACAGCCTGCTTGATGTCGCAGCAGGGTCACAGCATGCGCACCCTAGCCACAGCAGGCAGTACACCAGCGAAACAGAATCGAGAGGGACAGAAAAATGATGGCAAGACATCACTTGAAGCTCCAAAAGCAGCACCGTCTGCCACGACGCTTGGCAGAAATTGCGAACTGGAATGAGGCCCAAGCAGTGACAATCTCATCCAGGAAATTTGCTGCCCATCGCCTGTCATTAGCATTGGTGGGATTGAGGGAACAGCTAGCGCAAAAGTGCAGCTTCCAAGATGCGCCGCCCCTCACCGCTCCATCCGCCCTCTAGGGGCACATGTGCAGTACATATGTATAGACTATGCAGCAAAATCCCAACATTAGGTTGAAAAAGGTTGGAATAGGGCTTCGTTCTGTAGGGTCGTACCTGAAAATAACGTGTAGTCATGTGTCACAGACTGAAGCATTGGTGAACAAAAGAAAGATAATCCGCTTCTCGAGTGCTCTGAGGAGTTGCGAAAGCATTTCTTGGTTGATGCAGAGAGCCTGGCTGAGCGCGGGAAATTCTGACACAAGCGAGACCTGAGTTGAACAAACGCAGCCGTTCGCTGCCTCTGCGTGTGGTCGAAGACGTGCTTCTGGCCATAGAGGTGCAGTTCGCGACGATCCTGGAACTCCATCTCGATTGCCTGCTTCGGCAAACCACTCTATGCACATGATATGAACTGCTGAAAGGTTAACAATGTCCCCGGAAGATTTTGAGCTCAGGATTCTGGACCCAACGTGTCATACAAATCGACACTGGTTCTGAAGCCACAAACCCAGCTGAAGATCTCGTGCCTCGACTTGCAACACCACCTGCCACCTGTTCACCTTGAACCCAGAGCCAAGAGCCAAGGAGTCCCGCCATCTGGTGCTGAAACCCTTTGGCTTCCCACCGTACACAAGTGCAAGAGTCTGGAGTCTGGACCGAAGCCAAAAGATCAGAGTCTCAGAGATCCTCCTGTTGAAGATTCGCAGATTCCCGATTTCAATGAAGAAACCCCAGAGTCTGCCAGCCGGCTTTTTTGCGGATCTCTGCAGCCTCTTGGATGGCATCCGCAAAGGCAGTGGTGTCCCAGGGGTTCACACCTTGGAGCTTCTTCGGGAGAAACTAGGGATGATGAAAACTCAAAAGCGAACTGAAGCTCTGAAATTGTGGCCCTGGACTGGGCTTCGTCACAGAACATAAAGAGCCAGGGTCTTGGCAGATAGCAGCGGCACGCAGTGACTGCGCTGAGCCTGAGAACTCCGAGAGAATCAGGACACCGCAGTCTGGCTCCTGGTCTGGTGCGGCGGTGCGGCTTCAAGAGTGCTCCCGTTTATCGATGTGTGGCATATCGATGTGGGAGAGAGGCTGGAGGTATAAGGAATCTCCCATGAGTCAAGGTACGATGCGCGTTTGAATGCGTAGCTCAAGCGAGACCCCATGGCTTTGCTGGAGCTTCCTGAGCTGAACTGCTTTGCTCTGCTCGGGCCAGTGTCGATCTCCCTTTCAGTCTGTTAATGCCTGTTTCCTGTTCCGAAATTCTTGGAATACAACTATACCATAGAAGCCACGCAAGAAGTTCAGAATGTGCAATAATGTGCACACACGACATGACACGCGAAATTGCAGTCTCGAAAAAGCCCTAACAGGGTCTCACAGCCTCGCAAGCGAACAAGACAAGCATCTGCAAGTTGGAAACCCCTTGACCATGGTGATCCAAGCATGACAGCCTAATTGCGAGCAGAAGCGTGTCCTCCTGGCACCACACGAATTCATGCGCCTCACGGGAGAGCGTGTCCCGAAGAGGAGTGTCCATGAAGACGTGTGCCTGAAAACTGCTGCCAGGTCTGCTTTGAAAAACCTCTGAGAAACTGGGCAAGTCAATCCTGGAAACTGGTGTGGTACTTGCAAATTCGAAACGAAACCCATGTCAGGGAGGCAGCCTTGAGATCGGAACCAAACCAAACAAGGCAAGGAGGATGCGTCAACCTCCCTCGGCCTTCACCATCAGAGCCGTCACGTCAACCCTGTTGAAATCTTGGTAGAGGAAATGAAACCTCGGCAAAGCCACGTTGCCTATAGGGAACAGGTTCTAGCTCACGAAAGGGCTTGAATGTTTGAAAGCACGGGATGAGACTACATTGCAGACCATCCTGAAACATAATCGTTCCCCGGTCAGAATCCGCCAGTTGGAAGTGGGCAGTTCCGTCATCACGCACCACAAGCGGTATCGCACACATCATTACTTGGGGGAAAGGTTTTGGCGACAAGTGATGGTGCATTCACTGTGCTAGCAAATCTCAGCGCGGTCATTCCGGCACCAAAGCGGAGACGTTGCCCAAACCTGGCTCTTGGGCCCATGACTCTGGCAAGGTGGGTATCTCCCCATCTCAAAAAGTCCCGCGATCAGGGAAGACATGCTTTTTGACTCTGAGTGCTTTCCAGAAATCAGGGCACTGGCCGGGGCCTCTAGATTGGGCATCGGCCCAGATGTTTCTCACACCCGGCGCACTCCAAACTGAGAAATGTCAAACATGTCAGACGAAATCCTGGCAGGCACCGCGCGTTCGAGCAGTACTGGCAGATCTTTGCGCCCCCATCGCTGCCGTCGGGCAGTCTGTTCCTTTGCTTCTCAAAAACGATGACATATCCTCGCGGAGAACATGCAACGGACGGAAAACCCACAAGCAGAATTAAGCAGCAGTGCTGAGCGTGCTCAGGCCCAGAGATGCTACACCCAGCAACAGGGGAAGTACATCCAACAAACCTACCTATGGCATCACGCCACTGCAACCCAAGTATCGCATCACGCGACCGGGACACAAGAAGCTGCATCACACAGACACTCCGTAATGTCGCGTCACGTGACAAGGAGAAGAAAGTGGAATTGCGAATTCCCTAATAGTGTGACATCAGGCGACAGCACGCAGCAAGAGCCAAGACATCACATCACGTGAACGGGACAAGCGCGCACGGCCTCGCCGTAGAATACCAGACCTGAAGGTAAAAAACAGCGCTGCACGATGCGGTAGTGCCACCACCAGCTGCAATCCCGTCACGGAGCATGGGCTCGCATGGAGGGCAAAGAGCCCATGCCAGCACTCTGCGCAGCCAGCTTGAAAGCAGCGCTATACACAGGATTGCCTTTTGCATGCCAAAGCACCCTCTATGCTTTAAAACCCGCCCATGCTCGGGTCCACATCGTGGACCTCATGCGCTGCGGAAATAGCAAAGGAAAGGCGGCAATCGCGATCCAAACGCATCCTTTTCCAAAGCCATGGCAACAATTTGGGGGGAGTTCCGTGATACGGTGAGTCCATCCAGATGCAAAGCTCAGCCCCCCAGGTTTCGGCCTGCAAGAACTGCCAGGCAAGCTCGGACTGAGCTGCAGCCTGTATGCTTTCAAGGTCACGGCTTGGTGGGCTCGCGGTCCACACATGACTTTAAGAAATGTTAGGAAATCCTGAAAAAATTGGCCCTTTGGTGCACCAACTCAGCAGTGATCAAAATGTCACACACGTGCTGCACGATCCGCACGATCTCTCGGCTCTCTGCCCCTGGTCGCAGATGCCGGACGCTACCCGCTCAAAATCAGTGAAATCACGGTGGGCAGATCACAAGCGCTTGAGGCACGCCCCTGCGTTCCCAAGCCTGAAATGGGCATGATCAAACGCCCAACAGGACACAAAGTTTGCTTGGAAACGTGCAAATGGATTCACAAGTTCCAGCCTAGCGGTTGCTATGCAAAAGAGAGGACCTAGAAAGTCGTGGCTTGAAACCAGCATAACAGCTTAGCAAGCTCGGCTGAACACTGCTTGGCAAACACAACGGATCTGCACAGCTTCTCAAAGAGATGTCTGACTTCAAACCATATGGGCATCCGGCGGCAAGTGGCCAATCGCCCCGAAGGCCGAATTGCACTCGCCTCCCATCTGGTAGACCTGACGATGTTCGGAGTTGGGTCCATAGCAGCAATTGTGAGCTGGTGAGGCTGGTGACCTGGAATCTGCATGGCTGTCATTAAGTGATGGGCATTCGGCTTTGGGAGCTTGGTGTGCAATGTTTGCCTGACTGCAAGTCCTGTTACCCAGCGCTAGCTGGATCTCGACTCGGGGAGTGTCGCTCAAGAGCATCTAGCGTTTACGAAAAATCTCCGGTTTACTTCCAAATCTCATAACCCCAATCTGCAGTTCTCAGCTTCTGGAGTTTATGGATGTTGGACGCCCTAGCTTTGAGACAGGATCCATGCTCGTTGCAGAGTAGCAAACAAAAGGGAATCTTAAACTTGGAAATCCCATATGACAGTCTAAGACCTGCATCCCTCTTTTCAGCTGTGGCTTCTCATGTCTGCGCTGATGCAATCCACGGATGTAAGCTCGCGGAAAGCCGCATGACCTGCAATGCCATGGAATGTGGAGAAAAGTGCAGGAGAAGTACACGGACCATTTGCAAGGTTGGAGTTTGCTAACTGTAAAAACTACCATACCAGATTACGCAGAACCTAAACTAGACGAAGCCTCATCTGTCCAACGTCCGGAGCTGTGCCGACACTGATTCTTGGCCTCCGCACTGTTTCACACGGCGATATGATATGCAACCGACTTCCGGCTTTGTGGAAATCTGAAATTGCTTTAAGAGCATCTCGCTGGTGCATGGCACCAGCTGTTGCAGGAATACTTCTTCAGAGTCCGATCCTCCCTCATCCTTCAACATTGATTTCATAACGGATTTCAGTCGCAAGTCCGCTGGACGAAACATCATTGAATTCAAGACTGCTGGGCAGAACCCAAAATTCTGCTAGCTCTGACAATACCTCAGCCAGCTGCCCAGCCACAGAAGGACTGTGTGCGGCCAAAGTCCTGGGTTACAGACCAGGCTTCAGGTGTATCTTGGGGCTACCAAACAAACAACAAGGACAGCGGGCAAAATCAGAATCCAAATGAATCCAAATTGAGTTACGTTTGGACACGAGAATCCAGCAGCAGAACTATACCTTCAAGCTGGGAATGCACCACACTCTGTCACGAAGCATAAAGAGCAACAGGAAGCCCGTCTGAAAAAAATGTCTTGTCCCATTGTCCTTTACAAACACAAACTGCTGGAGAGCCAGTGCAACATGCACAAAAAAGTGTTATTGATAGCTCCCCACCACACATGGCCAGCGCATCAGAGGTGCGTAGGAAGGTTGCGGATAAACCTGCGGAGATGAGTCAACTTCCATCAATGCTGAGCGAAAATAAACTGTGCTTACCTCAGTACGAGGGCTGCGTACTGACGCCAGCAACCTTGCAGCATCATGCCTACTTTGTGTTTGGGTACCATGCAATGCCACAGGATGCACAGGAAAGCACGGATGGAAGAAGAGCCGACGGACTAGTTCAGGATCTTTCTCGGCCAACCTGAATGGACAAATGCGTCTACAGCTTTAACCAACTGTCACCAGGCTGCCTTGCAGACTTCATAGACGTTGCAAACAGAGCCGTTTAAGTCATTGCTTGCTGCGTAAGAACAGAAGATCGGATCAGCATTCAAGCCAGCGTGTTTCAAAGCGGACGACGAGAAAGCATGACTCTAAGGCCCCTAAGGCGTGGATCAAAGCCATAATTCAAGGAGCCCTCATTGCCAGCCAAAAAATATCATGACACGTACAATGTCTACAAGATTAAAAATCACAGTCACTGCAAACCTCAAGCAGCAGTCTGGCCTTTGTAGAACGCGAGGATGCCTTCCGTGGCTAGCGTCTTTCTGATCACATCCAGCGGACCTTTGAGAAAACAGGTTGCGTTGCTTCCTGTACTCGCGTATGCCATACAAAACATGTGTATCAAAAGTACAGGGTAGTGAAGTGTGATTCTAAGAAGTTTTCAGGGGCTACTGAGCCCGGAAGGTCCTAGCTTGCAGAAGCTGAGCATGACCGAGATCCCAGAACACGACAACCCACACGCCGTAACTGCACATGCCTGCATCACGTCCTTTCCAAACCTGCAGAACCTGACACACCGTGACCCGTGAACAAACAGGCACATATGCAAGACAACAACAATCATAAGGAGCCGGGTGCACGCTCAGCAACGTGGCAAGCAGTCTCCCGACACCATCCGGATCTCTTAAGTCCCGAACCCGCATAGGAAACGCCACAGGTCTGCTGCATGTTAATGATGCCTCGAACAGCGGGTTGTTTTGCTTCTGGTTTCATGAGCAGCTGCTCAGTTGCCTCGCTTCGGAGGATATCTTCCTAGCAACAGCAGTCAACGCTCAAACTCCACAAAGCAAACCAACCTTCCCGTCAACCGTGCATGGTCTTACAGTCTGTTGGGCTTTCTGAACTGACGCTGGGCATCACTTGCGTTGCGCACAACATCCGAGACCTTGAGACGCGACATCCGAGAAGGGCCTCTCTTGATTGACAACAGAAAACCACCCCATCCCCCGCAGTGATCCGAGCTCCGCACGCGTCTTCACGCAGTCCACCGGTTGTGTGGCCAAGCATGCCACAGTTGCAGAGGCCATCGCGCAGCTGAGGTGGAGCCTTGCTTTTCCAGAGCTAGCAAGTAAGTTCTACAATTCGACCAGGTGAAGGATGCTGAGCAAAGGTCGCACCTTCATGACACGAGCTCATTCTGACTTGTGAACTGTGACTGGGCAACGAAATGTATTTGGGCGGCTCCAATTTCAGTTTCAGTACGTGTGAAGCTGCTTCTCAAATGGAGAATGCTGGAATTCATCTGCTTGGAAACATAACGGATTGCACTCCTTCATGCTCCCAAGCGGCTTGATGCTGTCGGTGGCTCCGGCACCCAAAGCCCGCGACTTCACCTCCTCGCAGTCCACTTGCAGATATGGAAGTGGCAGAAAATTGTCAAGTGTTCTGGGCATGTGCCAGCGGTGTCACATACTTACAGCATGTAACTTTACCAGGACGTCACACATACACTCAGGATCGCGTGGATGCTTCATAATGTGCATTTCCGATGTCCTGATGACCCTACATGCACCAGCATGAGTTCTGACACCAATAAATCCCGAGCGATTCACTTTCCAGCGGCGGCAATTAGCAACACGTGCTGTCTGCCGGATCACTATGACTTCTGACCTCGTGAAGCATGTCTGCATCCTCGTAGGTTGCAAGCTGAGACATCGTGACCAGCGCAGCTCGCGCTGTAGTTGGCCCGACTCCGCGGTAAAGAGCCTTATTCATCATCTGGGCTTGTCATGTCAACTTCCAAGTAATATAATTAATTGCAAAAGCGAAAACGCTGGATGCAAACAGAAGGACTCACATTTTTTGCCTCTTCCCAGATCTTGCGGTAAGGGGATCTTAACGTTCCAGCTTTCCGGCTTCTACCATACTTCCACACGTGTCAAGCAAAAATCTGCAAATCCAACATCAGATTTGGCGCTCGGGCTTTGGGACGAGAACCACCCGTGACCCCATAACATTGTTGACCATTCACAGATGCTTCAGAATCATCCTAAGAGCCGCAGCCGAAGCACCAACCACCCCTCCTCTCTGACAACTCGCGCGAGGCCCTGGAAGACATGGCAGTATTCGCCTCACTGTCGCATTGGAGAGCAGATGGTCGAGCAATGCACAGGATCTGCCGTATCAGCTGTTTTCAGATTCGGGTAATGCTTCGCAAGGCACTTTAACACCGGACCGAGGCCGGCTACAGCATGCAACCACTGCAATCGGAGCATCGGCCGAGAAATCAAACCAACAGAAACCCACGACAAATTGCTTCCCAACAGCCAAGATGGGCCGCGACGTCATCTTGGAAAGAAGGCTGCATGGCAACGTCATGCCTGTAGCCTTATCGTATCCTACAGCGCAGGCCAGGCACGTCGGTGCTGCTGCGGCCAGCCCGCATCAGACTGCATGCGTATCAGCACCTCCGCATAACACAAACGACCAAGGAGATCAACTGTGCAGAACTGTGCAAGGCACAATGACATCATCAAAATCTTGAGCTTCAGGAAGAACCACCGACGTCATTAGGGCTGAGGATCCCGGCCACATCCGTGGGGTTCGCCACAACCGCAGCGACCAATCCGGCAGCCATGGCAGCTTGAAGCCGCCAGAGCAGGGGGATAGGGCCTTGCAAGCTCAGACTGCAATGCAAAACAGGACCCTGTAGCTTTGGCCATTCACAACCATGCGAAATACACCAACCACCCAAGCAAATGAAGTGTTTTCAGATCAAGGCACCCGCGCCGTCCTGACCCCATCTCTCGAAGATGCCTCAGATCGCCACGATTCTGGGCTCTGGGTCCACGACCCAGATGGTCTACAGTTCCAAATGCTGTATCCAGTGTCAACAAGATTTTGGCTTAACGTCTGCTATCGCCTTTGCATGCAGGATTGCCGCATGAACGGCGGTGAGCTTGTCTTCGTTGGCAAGATGCAGCTTGGAGTTTGGAGGTATGTTTTCCTGTCAAGAAACAAGGGCTAGAAGGGAACTATGTTGATAAGCATTCAGCTGCAGAAGAAGAGTGCCCCAGATTCTTGAAACCTGAAACCTGCAAGCAGCCCGATAATTTGATGCAGTAGTACTTTTCGCCCACTCCTGATATGATTACTGAAATTCTCCATAAATACTTGAAACATCAGGACATCGCATGTGATGTGACAGACAGTTGACCAGGTCTATGCTGCGCTTTGCCGCTGAAGTTTCCATCTGGGTGAAGAGAAGAAAAGATGGGTATGTACAGAGAGCAAACAGCAACCTCTGCGCAGCCCTAGCTCGAAACATTGGAAAGCAGCAATGGCTCCACAATCAAGACTATAAAGGCGCAGCAAACACCCTCGCTCACCAACACAAGGATTCGAAGACGGTGCAGGAATGCAGCCCGAAAGCTTGATGCGGGCTCCAAAGCAAAACTAGACGGAAGCCCTTGAGCCACGTGCACTCACCAACGGTTCCAAGGTCCCGGGCCGTAGAGCCCATGTCGGAGCGTACCGAAAACCGCCTGGCGGAGCAAGTCTACCCCCACCACGTACAGCGCCCGGGCTGCAACAGAGAGAAACAAACATTGAGTTGCTGTACCTTGAATGCAACCCTGTGCATTCAGGATGAACCTTTGTTCCCGTTTTCTGCGGGTCTTGAAGGTAAGAACGGCATGTATCTTGAAGGCTCATCTCAGCGAGCCTGCAGCGCTCAAGAGGCTACAAAAGATCCTGCTGACAACGAACCTTGATAGGGGATCTTCGGATGCATCCCCTGCTGAAGATGGATACACGTTATGGCCTGCTCAACTCAAGCCCTGCGTGAGACAACCTGCCGTGCGAGTGCCTTTTGCAGTTGGAGCATCGCAAAGATCCCGATAGATCCCGCACGAAGCACAAACAGACTTTGAAGGGAAAGAGCTGTGGCATGGTGCTGTTTATTCCCTGCCTGCAGGTCAGGCTTCAAAGATATGGATGAATGGATAGACAGAAGGATGGATGGAGGCAGGAAGCGGGCGCATGTGTTCTACAGGGCTTCTAGTTGCGTTGCAAAGGGTTGTCCTGGCAGGCAGTCACTGCTCTGACCCGGAAGACAATTCTTCAAGGCCCTGTACCATTACATTCCCTGGATCCAGCAAATCGATGCAAGACTCTGCAACCCATAGAAGCCAACTACGTCCTGGCAGTCCAGAATTCAGAAATATTGACTCTTGCCTTCCTCTCTGATGGAACCAGTGCGTGATTGCATGCGCTAACCCAAAAGCAGATGGGCACATTGCGGGAAGGTCCTAAACCTCTGGCCTCTTTCGGGCCCCAAAGCCTTTATTCCTCCCTCTTGTGTGCCCCTTGCCCAAGGTCCTGGCGGAGCCAAGCAGCTGAAATGCCAGCATAAAGGCCGCCGAAGCCTTCCTGGACCTAGGAAAAGCCAATGGGTTCAAGTTTAGGAGCTCACGCTCTGGCCTCTGGCAGCCCAGTAGCAGCAAGCTTGCGAGCCACGTTGGTCATGTCGCCTTGGCACAAAGCTGGGAGCATGAAAGCTGGGAGCATGAAAGCTGGGAGCATGAAAGCTGGGAGCATGAAAGCTGCACCTGATAAACCAATTCCTCCTTTGCAGCACTTTATCAATCTTAAAGGTGCTTCTGTAACCTTCCCTTCTCTTGGGCAGTCCCAGCTGCGGACGCGTAGCGTCCGGATGGCACTGTTGCACTCGCCGGTGAGCTGCAGACGCACCTGGAGTCACACCGGAAAAGATTGCGCTCACACTTAGAACATCCTCAGAACACAGGCCTTCAGCACATCGGCGGGATGGGAGAAGCTTACCGCAAACCTGCATCCAAGCCCATAGCCCTTCTCCAACGATGCACTATGGGCCGCGGGCAGGTGTTCACGGACTTGGGGAAGACTCCGTGCCCATGCAAGGTGCTCTGGCTTTAGGCTAGACAGTACTCCATCCATTAACAATATACACATGCCTCCTCACATCCTGTAGTGCCATTCGACTGCTGCAGCTACAAAACCAAAAGTCTGAGGTAAAAAATCTGAAGCACAAGGATAGAAAAGCATGGCTCGATCCCTCTCTCTCTTCTTCTTCTTCCCCGGGTCTCTCTTTCTTCTTATTCTTCTTCTTCTTCTTCTTCCTCTATGGGCCTCCCTAAAGAGACGCCGAGGCTAGGCCTCAAGCCCGCCAACGTCCAATGTCCGGTCCACCGCCAAGGCCCCAGGTTTTCCCCATACTGAATCTCCCATGATCCAGCAGTAAGCAAAAGCCACTATATTTGGGGCAAAGCGCTCCATGCGAAGAGTCCGGTATGAGTTCCCCTGCTTCTCAAGGCTGTCTGTGAAACTTCCCCATACGTTGTACCTTTGCCCCTCATCATGCACTCATGGCACGACAATGAGCGGTACTGGCATTGGAAAATTCATTCCCACCCCCTGCTACCTTTTCCCGAAACTGCTTACCTTCTACCCAATTGCTGTTGATAATTCCCCGACGGGTTCTCTTTTGCTGTGGGGCTCAGCTCCTTGTATACCGCATTTCGGAGGCCATTTCCCTACATATGCAAGGTCATCACAAATATCATCACAATGATCGATGAAACACCATTTGACAACCTTCCCCATTGCTTGTGCCCTTTCTTTCTTTCTTTCGTGCGGGCTCTGGAGTAGGCGGCTGGCTACCCCGGGCGTCACTGACAAGCCCGTGTTGGGCTAGGTTTTTCCGCTAACACTACCTCACCCTCTGAACTCCATAAATGACTAGCAGTTAAAAACACCGGGTCTCTCTTTCTTTCTTTCTTTCGTAAGGGCTTCGCTTGGCCGCCTCGGGCATCACTGCCCAGCCCCTGTTGGGCTTCCAGGCTGAAACTCACCCCTCAAACTCCACATAAGTTAGGTGCTTCTTCCATAAGTGACATGGTAGGGGTTACTTACATGGAGTTGACATGTATGGACTGTATCTCCATTGCTTGCTGCTGCCAGCTTGGATTCCAAGTCTAGTGCCTACTTAATTTGAATAAGGGGAGGGTGGATCTTGGCTGGTTGGAGTAGCGTTGTGAGCGAAACTTCCCAGGAAAGCTGAGGGTTTTGCAAAACAAGAAAAAGGTGCCCAAAGGTGGTACTACATACACTGTTGTTTGGACTCCCATTTGTGATTTAGATTGCCTACCGGGTCTCTTTCTTTCTTTACCGGTGATAGGGGGTTCTACAACCCCCAGGGCCCAGCCCTGCACCGCAAGGTCACAGCATCCATAGGTCGGAACCCCAGAGGACCGACGCACACTCAGACCTAGATGAAATTAGTCCAGAAGTCCTGCAGTCGGTGTCAGCGTGTACCTCCTACTCGATGGAGCAGTGAGACTCATTCCCCAGGGGCCGGTCTGGTTCTACCGCAACTGAGCTACCGGGTCTCTCTCTCTCTCCTCTCTCACGTTCATAAGAACATGACCAGAGAACCAAACACGTGCTTGTCCCATTGGTGAATCAATGCCCTCAGCATTGCAGCATTATCAGCGCTTCGATCCACAAGTCTGAATGACAGCATCAAATCCAAGGCGCATCTCCCCAAGGCCACCCGCTGCGAAGCGGTGCCAGGCATGGCGCCGCTGGTGGGGAGGCATAGCACGAGGGCCATCAGACAAACTAGGAAAAAAAACAAGGATCCGGATTCACAATGGATTCTTCATTCCATATGCTTCAGGTTGAGGTATTCGTGCCTGGGTGAACTGTCATGCACGGTGTCACTTCAACTTCGTACATGAACCTCTCAGGTTGAAGGGGGTGAGTTTTCTGCATGTCAGGCTGATCTGGCTTTGGAGGAGAGGGGCTTAGCTTAGAGGTGTGCAGAAGTTTCAAACTGGCATGTAAAGTGCTGACTCCATTAGACTGGGGAAGAAAAGTAGAGCGTGAATAAAAGCAGCGGGGCGCTGCCGGAAAAATGGTTCAAGTCCTTCACCAAATATTCTCCTTGCTTTCAGACAAACTCATGCTTCTCATGAAAAGCTATTTCTGAACAAGTCTTTACACAGTGTCTAGAACATGTCTTCCCCGTAGTAAAACAGAACGTGCAACCTGCACCATGCACATCTACATGCCTGTCATGTCATCCGCATACATGCCTCATACATAGAACCCATTCCACTCTGAACTTCAACTCCTGTGAGCAAGGGCTGGCACCATGTCTAGACACTATGCTCTCCCACTTGAATCGAAGCATGCGGAAACATGTAGAAACCACATCATCTTGATCATGCCCCTATGCGATTCGCAAACACACGTCCATGATCATCATGACCTCTGTAAGAATTTCCGCTGAAGCACGGCGGAAACAACTGAGGGGCAAGCCAAGGCGAACGAAAGCTAGCTAAGTCTTCAGAGCTTGCATACAGGAGGGAAGATTCATGCGACCACCAGGTATGACGTTTTTCGCGCCATGACCACGCAAGGGCAGTGAATGCGTTGCATGTTCATGGTATGATAACATCATGTATGGCGGGTCGCCCTCCCTGCTCCTCCTCTGGTGTTTAAAGCCCGCGCATGTAATCGCATTGTGACATCATGCTTAGTGGTTGCATGAAATATCGCTACGTGTCCTGTAGTAATCAGGCAGCAAACCTCCCTCCTCTTTCTGCAAAGTCCACTGGCTGTGAACACTGAGGAGCTTTGGCGAGGAAATTAAAGCCGTCAAAAACGCGGGCCCTGGGTCTAGACAACGGCCTCCCTATCACCTGGGACAGAGGGCCAAGTCCAGCATGTGAGTTGTCTTGGAAGGATTCTGCCACTAGCTTCTCAAGGCAACCGCAACGGCAGTGTCTAGAAAATGCTTGCATCATGTCAACAGGCCCGCTATGTTGAGGAACAAGGGACACTAATGTCTAGAAAATCTTTTCCAACCTTAGAAGCATGCAGCAGGGAATTACCCGACGTTGCCTGCACAATCCTTCCATCGCATTCATGACGAAATCTGGAGGCTGCCCCTGTATACGCCCTGAAAGCCAAATAACACAAGATTGCAGAAGCTACCCTTCCCCCTTTGCCCGCCTGCTGCAACAGCTGTCTCTCCTCTCTTGCCTTCTCGTCATCGCCGTCCTCAGCCTTCGCCTGCCGACACGGGAACGTTTCTACCAGCTTTGGAGCACTTCGTCATGTTGTCTGCACACCAAGAGGACGTATCTCTATCTTGCTGTGAAGCAGATAAAGCCGAACAGATACAATTTCTTCCACTCCCACTGTGCAAACTGCAGCAACATGCCTCCTGGAGAGCCTCCACACATGACACCAGCTGCAGGTGCACGAGCCGGCGCCTGGTTCACAAGCTGCACGAACACGACCCGTTCGGCCCAGGACCTCGACAAACCAAGATGCTGCAAACACCAATCCTGAGCATGTGTGAACGTGAATGCCTATGAAGGATGGCGACCTTAGCAATCTTCCGAACACCCGAGGACCCGACGGCGACTTCTGAAGGAATTTGTGGAAGGCCATGATCTTATGCGGGATGCCCTCCTTCTCCTGGAGGTTCGGAACGTTTGGAGGGCATGGGCTGCCCTTTGGATCTGGCACATTGCTGTGGTAATTACGAGTACCGGCTTGCAAAGCACATGCACAAATCCAAACTCCCTAGCAAAATACCGGCAATGCTGCCTGGTCCCGAACTGCCTAAAGATCCTAAAAGCTCCTCCAGGCGATCAACAGCCATCAGGATCGTCTTGCCTGCAAAGGTCCTGTCGTAAAATCAGAGAAGTATGCGTTGTGGGCTCTAGCTTCTGCACTGCAGCCCGTAATCAGGACTGGCAACCTGTCCGCAAGCACGCGGAGCTTTTGATTTGAAAAGCTATCTGCTGGAAAGGCAACAGGTCCGGACGACACAGGGCAGGTTGCATGCCAGCATATGTCTAACAAGGTGTTGTATGTGTTTCACCTTAGGGTGTCCCAGCTGCTGCCGCAACAGGCACCCCAAGAACCACAAAACACTTGCAGAGACCACCACCCTTGAAACCAGCAACCCCAGATGCCGCAACTCTGCAATACGCTGCAGCTCCTCTCCAAGTCACGGATGCGTTGCTTGGTTTCCTGCGAATGACTCATAGAGCTCGTGATCACCAATCTTTACTGTAACTCGCACCTCGCCGCAACAAGAGGTCTGGCTATAAAGATGGCACACCTGCCCTTGCACACTCTGTGTCGTTTCTTTACTGATCCTTTCTGGATGAGGGTATTCCTGACAACAGCAGCACGGATGAAAACGAAGACTGAGTCAGCCCCCTAGAGATTGCACACCCATATCTGAGCAACCTGAAACCTGCAAACCCCACCTCGCTGTTGAAGATCTTTGTGTAGGGCTCCAGGTGGATCCCCAAAGGCACAGCAATGACCTGACAGACCGCGGTTTGTGCATTGGACCCCAACATGATCCAAAAAGCAAACAGACGACAAAGCCACGCAAAGATGGGAAGTTGTAGCACCCACACAATCCTGCCTTGGTACTGGTCCCACCAGCATCCTCTCAAGTTTGGCAGTCCGAAGGCTCTTTTAAGAAATTGAGGGTATGGCTTGAGGTCGCTGGTCAGACCTGAAGCCAGGCTTGTGTCCCCAGGCTTTCGAGATTTTGGGAACGCTTCCGACCTCTCTAACTTGGAATCACCTGGAGTTAGTTTTTGGAAGCCTCCCTGCAACAACAAACAGCCTCAGCGTCAGGATTCGCATGCAAACATTTCGCAATCACCATCAACTGTTGCCGGTCCTCACAAGCCTCGATACCGTTGGCTGTGCATTCGCAGCCTGGCTTCTTGCGAGCAGAACAACACGCCTTTGCTGCACCTTGTACAGCCAACAGCTCTTGCTTGCAAATCGAAGCACCAAATACCACATCAATAAAGGGCAGATCATGTGATTCCAGTGAAGCTGCAGACTCAATCACCTTCGCAGAGAATGTGGAGGCTAGTAAGATGACGGCAGTGCACGCACATTGCTTCCAGGATTGCTTCTACAAAACTCGTTTTTTGTTTCAGTACATGTAGCAGCAAGCCCGCATGTGAAGCCGATTCTGAAGCTGAGGCAGGCCTAGGATGCGTGTGGCCGCTGTGAGAAAGTGACGGACCTGACAAACCACACACACATGCAATTAAACAGCTGCAGGTTAGCACCGGAGGCTTCAGCTTCAGCAACTCTTCGGGACGGCATGAATGCTATGATGTCAGCTGCTGAACTTTGGCAAGGCAGCACAAAACTTGAGCGAACACCGTTGTTCTGATCTCGAAGCACGACATTACAATCATTGAGGATCACACAAGCCCGGCTAAGATTCTGCATGCCATCTCGCTCTGCTCACACTTCAATTCCAATGGAAACAGGATGTTAAAGAGTTTCAACGGAACAGCTCTCTGGAGCCCTTTTCTTGGTGCCGGGCATATTGAAAATTGTGAAAACCTATGACGTTGGAGCCTCAGGCACACGGGACCGCGATGAATCGTGGTGGACTTGCACCAGCATGATTGCTTTGCGTCACCTTGCGTCAGGGTCCCAGCTTAGAACTCCTCGGAGAAGCTCCTCCCTCTGGGGCAGGATTCGATACACCTCATGCGGCCGTGCGGTTTGCAGCTGCGCGCTAGAGCAAGGCTATGCATGATCATGCCCAGTCCGGAGGAGGATTGCTCCAACATGTACGAATCACCCTCTGTTCACGAATCGATCGACTGAAGCGCAATCTGCATAATCCGTGAAGAACCTGAAGTTTGATCAGCTTGTAGCCCAAAACACTGTAAATCACTGTAACTTGCTTGCACGCCACACAGACCCCCCAAAGGCAATCTACAGCTTTCCTCAGCAAGTCGGCAAGCCTCGCTGCTGGGAAATACGCCTTGGTTGACCGCGGCAGTGTTCATGATGAGAAGCAGTGCAATGAAGATTAGACATTTGCACAAAAAGGGTTGCATCTTGGTTTCCGTGCTGGATCTGCACTCTCAGCTGCATTGCCCAGGGTTCTTAAAACTCATGTCGATCGGCTGCCAAAAAGTAGGTAGTACCTCCAGCACTCTTCAACCCCAACCTTGCCATTCAGCACCGCTCGCAATCTGTTCCGACAAACGTTCCGTGGACCAGGGGCTGACTACTACTGTGCGGAGCACGTGCCAGGCGTGTTGACCTTAATGACCGTGCGCACGTTTACAGTTACAAAGATGCCTCAGAGAATCTTGCCCAGAATCCCTAGAAAGACCTCGTTACATACTCCAACTTCCATGAATGCTCGTGTAATCCCTTCGACAATGCTGAGGAGCCAACAGTGGATGTAAAAACCAATGGAGATGTCAGGGCGCTCCTTGCCGCAGGATGGCTTGCGGCTTGACGTGTGGCCTTCGGTTAGGGGTCGCGTTTCCACGGCATTGCAGTTTAAAACATGCGCTCATGCCAGTCTGAACTGAGGAGTTGTTGGCTGCAACACATAGGACTCAATGCTCGCAAGCGCCTAACTGCTTTGGAATTTGCGACCTCCGCTCACTGGGGATGTCTGGCCGGAAATCAGTTTCGTTAAGCCACTGGCGACATGAGGGTAAAAACACTTGGAGTCTGCCAACGAGCATCACATCTCACATCTCACGCCGCTTCTGCAGTCCACATAACAATGCGTAGGAATCAGGTATATGGGTGGAACAACGGGAAAACGAACTTGTGACATGGAATCACAGGGACTGAGACAGCCTTAAACATCCTTAAACATTGTCTTGCCAAAGTCGGCAAGCTGAGCACCAAACGATGAAAGCAATAAAGAGTCTTTCCCTGGTCTTCCTCCCTTTTTAGACAATCGAATTTGCCTATACATCCCGACTCAAAGAAAAGCAGTAACGACAACAACCAAAACCCGTAAGTCATCCGGCTAGTGGGCTGATCATGTCGGTCTACACCGATGTGTACTTAGAACTGCCTAAAACAATTGTAGCTTCTCCAACTCCTGCTCTTGACATGCCGGTCTTCTTTTGGAAAGACAAACCAGGTACAGGGGCTTTCTACCGACGGAACAACATTGCTGCATGCTTGGTCCTTTCGCAACGCCTTTGGGAGCAACATCAGTGGATAGTCATTGATGAGGACCTCATCTTGAAATCTTTCAGAAGGCTTTTAGCTTGACATCTGCTCCTCAATCGAACCTTAGATGGCTTGCATGGGCTGCAACGCAAAGTCTAGCCCCTTGTGTCAGAAGCACACCCATTTGGTGACTGCCAAGAACATGTCAGATGTGTTGGGCCCGCGGCAAGATCCCCACGCGAGTAGATCTGCAACACCTCTGGTGCAAGAATTCTTTCCAACAGGACATTCTGGGACTCCAGTCCCGAGCAGCATTTATGGGACCGTGAGCATCACCGGACGAGCCGCGTCAGTTCTGGGGTCCCTGCAGCATCGCGATATGTTTCATTTACGAGCTTGTAACCATCCCAGTCGGAGAGTCCTAAGTTGAGACTCCAACAGGATGTCTCTCGCATTGGTTGAAGCGCCAGCTTCACTGAGTTACACACCAATTCCGGTCTCAACCGATGGAGGCGTGTAGTGGAAAAGCGGAAAAATCACCTCAGGCTCAAAACAGGAAGTCTTGCGTCAAGCACCAACAAAATACACCCTGTCAGCCTTGCTGCCAAAAGCCCCGCCTGGTCCGCAAACCGGTCGCGGCCAGAAGGTGGGAAGACAGGAAGAGTCACAACCTCGGTGGTGAAGGATGCGTGGTCTCATCTGGCTACGCACAGGTCCTGTGTCCTGGGACTTTGTACTTGTGGAATCCGCGCAAGGCATTTGCTCCGTCGCATTGCCGGCTACTACCCGCGTTTCAGCAAACCCCTCTGGCCCTGCAAATATACAGACTCGCCAAAATGTTCAACAGAGCCCTCGTCTTTGAGTCTCCATAAAGGGCAGAAAGAAACCAACGAGCATCTGCAAGAATAATCTGCACAAAGTCGGCGGTTGGCTGGACACAGCTTCTGGAAAAGTAAGACAACACAACACACGAGGAAAGCGGATCGACTCAGCTCGTACTAGCTGTCTGTTGACCATGATACTTTCAACAAAGAACACGCATGCAGCATCCACTGGGTCAGCGGCATCGGAAACGGTCTGCAGGAAACTGACAAGCTGCTGCTGCAGCCCCTCATCACAGCCAATGACCAAGGAGCCTCAGGAATCAGGGCATCTCCAACATGAGCATCACCTGGCGATGCTTCGCGCAGCACAGGGCTCCCGGCGATCGCTCGCTCTTCTGACCACCGGAGTTCCCACAAGATACACCTGCAGCGTGCGCTGCAAAAGAAAGCATTCTGGATAATCCGAAACTTCCGCAATCTCTGGTCGAATGTACAACGAGGAAGCGCGGGATCGCACGACTTTGGGATCTGTGGCCGCCTTTTTGGCCTGGAGCAACCCATAGTGTCAGAGCGCATATTTGCATTGTGTGCTTTTGCTCGTGCTGTGCTGCAAGCACCTCTCCTGAGCCACGATGGTAGCAAGGAATGCTGCAGTCTCTGAAAATCATGTTACGGAGCGAGAGAGGGTTGCTCCACAGCCTACCCCAGCCGCGTCCCTCTCTGGGGGGGGCTCACGGGAGATCCGCAAGCGTTGCAACTTCCCTCTGCCATCAAGTTCAAACAATTGGAGCAAAGCGAACATGGAGCAATGTTTGCACGATTTTCACTCCTTCAACAGTTCAACACTAACGAGGCATCTGAAACGACTGGATACCACTCTAGCCTGCAAGAAAACATGGTCAACTTCCACACAGACTCCACAAATCCGATGGGAGAAACATATGCGTGCGACCTGCTTAGTCCATGGTGGGTCGCATAAGCAAGAATTGAGGCACCTGCCCTAAGATTGCACTCCCACCAAGAAGGCCTAAAAACGGCAACTGGGGTTGCTATGCCAAGTGCAGCGGGAGCAGCACTCCAGCTCCGAGGGCTAGGAGGCGCTCCACCCAAAAACCGTGCGCCAAGCAGTGGAAGCACAACACTCCACCGCCGAGGGAAACACGAGGCATGCACGAGAATCGCGACATCAACAACATACCCTATGCCTGGCGTGCGCCAGCTGCACCAACAGTATGCTGAGGTAGCCTTTCCGCCAGTAAGAAAAGTAGGTAGTGTCGCCCTGGCAGTGAGCACGCCGGGTTGGGGTTGCCAGGCCACGAAATTAAGCCCGCTTTTCTTTTACCCTGTTTTTCTAGAAAACGTTGGCATGCCGTCCTTCATCCAGAACCTGTGAAAACCTCAGCTGTTGGGCGAACAAAAATTACTGCCTTGCGGATACAATCCAAATTGAGGCCAGCAGGAAACTACGTGTTATACCAAAATCGAAAGCCAAAACCTTTCAAGGCCTCGTCCGGTCTGACGCGCACTGATGCCTGCACCTGTGGAACAGATAGCTTGTACCCAGAACAGTGCATGCATGGTTTGGGGCTAGCATGCTAGATTCGCAGTAAAGCGGAGCAACCCTGATTACAGTGCTACTATGTGCTACTCCACACATCGAGGGCGCGCCTTTCCTTCAGATATCTCAGCCGCCAAGATCTCAGCAAAGTCTGCCTCCAAGGTTCATGCACCAAGCTGATCAGAGAAGGCAAGTTCTGCAGACTCCGCAAGCAGCTGGAAGCTGAACCCTAGTTCCGGCATCCTGGCCCAATGGCCGCAGAGCTTTCAAGTCCTGATCTGCCGATGTGCCTCGAATTCATCTCGTTCAAGGCGAATGACCCCTTTCTCCTGCGTCCCATGACATCCAACTCTTGTCTTGGATTCTCCTCGATGTGCTTCTAGGCGCCGCATTTGCAGAAAACAACGGGTACGTCATCTTTCAATAGTCATGTGCTGAGGTCTACTAAGTATACTACTCGCCAGATGCGCTTGATTCCGGCAATATGTCTGATGATGAACGAAACCACAATTATGCATTCATGCCAGAATCCACTTCAAAGACATCCAGAGGTGTGAAGCTCAATAGTCTTGACAAAAACTCAGAGTAGGCCTAGAAGGTCATCAAGAGACGGTATCCTCGACCTCTCCTTGAAATCCCAACAGTTCTAATTCTGAAAGATCTCTGTGTAGCAAGCGAGAAAAGTCTTCAAAGTGGACATCACTCTTCGTCAATAGCCCGAAGAGGACATGTCACGCTCAAGGGTTAAGGTTCTAGGGCAAGCAGTCCTTCCTAGATCTCATGAGTCATAACGACTGCCAGTGAGATCCCAAGGTAGCAAGAAGCGAACAAAAAAAAGTCATGGACTGCTCGAATCAACATAGAATTACACTTAGCCCGCTACATCGCATTTCCAGGATGACTGTGGATAAACTATCTTTGATGCCTTTGGCAGCCCTCTCCTCATTCCAAATGAGCGTGAAGGGAAGCTTCGCGCAAACCTGGGCCGGAGTGTGACATGAGAAGGGGGATCAAGTTAAGGTGTAAGCCTCCAAGTGCCGAGAGCCCAGCAACGATAAGCTTTCGCCAGGGTCGCGCAGGCTCCTGGCACACAACACAAGACATAGAAAGCATTTCTCCGCATACCAAGAAACGACACAAGCAGCCGTTTTGTCTTAAAATCTGATTGCTTGCCTAAGCGCAGTGTCTGGGGAGAGGAGAGAAGAGCACCAGCCAAGCAAGCTGCGAGAACTCAGGAAGTGCCTTGTCAGTGCCAGCGGCCTCGGATCACGAAACAAGTCTAGACCGGCAAGCGCGTGGGCGCACTGTGTATGTGCGTGCGTGCGTGTGTGACACCTGATCTGCTTCAGGAGAAGTGGGTCGAAACAGAGTGTGAAGGGGCAGCGAGGGGCCCCCTTTTCGGGAGAGCTGTATGTGTGTGACGCCTGATCTGCTTCAG